AGTGAGAAGCTGCTTTTTTTCCAAATCAGCTCAAGCTTCATACTGAGACATATAGTTTCATATAGTTTCATTATGTTTCATTTTTTCTTCACAGCTGTGGTGTGTCAATGAGACATACTTTCAAATTGAAATATGCTGCGCACATGTGACATGATGTGCACGATGTGTGCGCATGGGTCCATGTGTGGTCCTTGTTGATTGCAACCAGTGCTGGCATGGAGGAGTCTTTCTTGGCCTTGTTTGTCGGTGCTTCCGCTGCCAAAGAATCCAGGGTTGCTTGAAGCTTCTCCAGGGATGCTAAGCCACCTGAGAGGGGCCACAGCATGCCACAACAAACCAGGTGAAACAAAGAAGAAGCAAAGAAGGAACGAAGAAGAATATCGAACAAAGTCGAACCAAATGAGCAGAACCTCGATCCACATGACACGGGTCTTCTTTGCATTCCTTGTGACACTTCTCTAGAATCTCTATGGGCTGTGAAAGCCCATCCCTCAGCCAGCACGGCTACAACGCATGACCGCATTCTCAGTCGCAGACTGCCACCACTCTCTGGAGTACTTACGTTGAGCTCCACCAGCATATCCTGAGTGAAATGGCGACAACAGACATGCCACAATGCGGCAATCAAGGATTGCCTACGCGTAAACCCTACAGGTCACCGCAAGAATCTCTGGTTCTCCTGGGTCCCAAATCGTTCACCCATGCCAACAATACCTATGTACCATTATGTACCATATCTATATTGTAATATCATTCTATATCATTCTATATCATTCTATATCCCTATCATTCCCTATCCACTTGTGCCATCTTGTGCCTCATCCCCATCTGATTTTGCTTCCACCGTGAGTTGCCGAAGCTCCGACAGCGGTGGCTTCGTCTCTGGCTGAGCCACCGGCGCTGAAGCATTGCTGTCGTCTTCGGGCGGCGCCACGGCGGGGCGATGCAGCACTTTGCTCCGCAGCCAGGTGGACACGTCTTTGATCAACGCCAAGGGCCTTCACAAAATCTGGGACGAGCGATGAGGTGTTTGTCTCGTGCAGTGAAATACTGTACATGAGGTCTTTTTTGGACTACGATACCGTCAACTTGAATCAACTAATGAGCTATTTTTCAAAACAAACAAAACAGCAGTGCGAACTGCTTTGAGCTGTCCTATGATTCTCAAATAAATAATCTTCAGAACTTTGTCTCTGACATGCTGTTGCGACCCAAATTGAAACCTTATACTGTAGTGTTTTTAAAAAATAATAAAAGAGCATGAAATAGCGTTAAATAAATGTTAAATACAGTAGCTCAAGCTTGCATCAAGCGACAAATCAGTGTAGCTCTTGGCTTCCTTGTTTTCGTCTCCAGCTGTGGAGTCGCTGTGACCGGAGTCTTTCGCTGGTTCCAAGGGTTCTGCGCTTTGGCCCAGACTGGGAGGCAAAGCTGCAGCTCTGGCCACCTCCTCAAAGACAGCCAAGGTGTCATAGTCATTGATTGTGTCATTCAATGAAACGTTCTTAATGATCATAAGATCATGTGTGTACTCTGAGATTACAATATATTACAATATGATTCTGATGATACTAAGTGAAACACGTATGATAAGTTATGATAAGACAAATTCAAATAAATTATGATGGTTCTTGCAAAAAAAAAAGTCAACTGTGACAACGAAATCAAGTGGAATCCATGTCCACTGCAAAGATTCAAAGAAACACAACACAACATAAATCAACATAACCCTTTCGTATTTGCATTGTTTGCCTTCCCTTGGATTTCATCATTCTGTTGCACCATACAATTGGCGCAATTTTGTCGCATCTCCTCGTGCCATCTGGCGATGTCCAGCAAACTGGGATCGACACGTCGGTCTCTGCGATCCTCTGCAGTTCGTTCCTTCGCGATGTAATTTGTCGCTGTGGCACCAAAGACCTGGAAACGTGTCAAGGCGCAAAAGGAGTTGTCCTCCATGCGATGATGTGACAACACTCGGATCTTCAAAAATCTCACCCAACATTCTTCTGCAAGGCGTTGACAACGAGATCCCACGTCGAACAGCTCGTAGTTGGAGGTGGAATTGCTTTCTATTTCACCCAGCAATCTCCAGGTTTCAGTGGGATATTGATTGGAGCCCAGGATCTGCAAATGTCGGTATCCAGATGCAAAAAGTTCCAAGGTCACCAGGCCAACATATTCGACAAAAATATCTTCCAGAAGCGAGATCACAAACCACGACCGGGTCTCGCACGGAGATAACATGTACAAAGATTTGTCTGGTGAAAGCACAGCTTTCGCATGCAGCAGACCCTTTGCGTGGGTTACCAAACGAGCTCCAGCATGCATCGAGGCGTAGTCATATCGTACCCCGTTCAAAAAGTCGTCCGAATACGGTTGACTCCTCAAAGGACAATCAAACAAAGCTCTTCAGTCACTTTCCACTTTGTCTATCAGCTAGCCTAGTAGCCAAAACACTAACACGAGCCAAATTCAAAGCAAAAGGAAGTTCGTCATGTCAGCAGTTGCATGCAATTCTTCCTTGACCTGTGTAAAAACCTGACTGTGCAAGTGTCGTCCTTGAATCAAACAAATGACAATGTGTGAAAATGCCCAAAGCAAAGCCATAATTTAAAAATGTCTATAAAAGTATTTCTATGGTAGATGTTGCTTCACATTGAAACATGTCGAAACCATCTGCATTCTGTTCACGGCACCTGATGAATCTGCCTTCCTCGCTCATCGCCCGAGCACTGCTGCGGCTGACGTTGTCTGCTGATATCAGCCTCGTCTCGTTGCTCGGCATCACCAGCGGTCCGGGAGAAACAGCATGGCACTGACACACTCGAGTCGCTTGAGCTTCACCAGAACGATTTGGCACCGATTGACCACCAAAAGTCTCCTGGAAGGACGACATCATGAAGACATGTTCCTTTATGTTCTTTTATGTTCTTTTATGTTCTTTTATGTTCTTTCGTTTTGTCTGGAAAGATGTGGTTTTCCGGCTGGGACTGGGGAGGCTACCAGGCTACCATTGTGTTTCTTATTGCACTTCCCTCAATGAACGTTGGAGGCATGGGCGCAAGGAACCCAAGCCATTGCCAGCGATCCCACGATCCCATGGGCATCCCATGTCCTCTGTGCAGAAGACCAGGCCGTTTTTGGCCACCAAGGTCTCGGAAGCCCATTGCTGCGCCACATCGGCAGCATCCTCCGGGAAGGCTTCCAAGCCAAAGCGCACCTGCTATGGCACGGTATGGCACGGTCAAACTGAGAAACCTTCGATGCCTTGGAAGACCGCTGTTCTCTGTACCGCGTTGTACCATTTTGTACCATGTTGTAATGCATGTTGTAACCTTCCAACGGTTTGAAACATGTTATTTAAAAAACATGTTGGAACATGTTGAAACTCTGGGACTTAATCACCACTCGTTCAATTACAGAAGCTGCTTTCCTGGTGACGCAACTCTTGCCTCACCAAGACAGAGGCAAATCTGTCCTTCATCAGCACAATGTTGCCATTCGCCAGAGCGAGATGAGGGCAGAAGCTTTGAAACCATGGCATCACCAAAACGATGCCAAATCCTGCCATTGTGCAACTCAGCCGTCAAATCTGATGGTCTGGATTCAAGCAGATTTGCAAGGTTCTAGGTGGCAACATGGATGTCCACATGCACATATTACATCATATTACAGAGTCCCCTAGTGTTTTTTCTGGTGCGTTTCACCGGCGCACCTCGACAAGTATGCTCCAGAATCGCTGTCACAGCGGAAAAACGGCTGGGAACGTCTGCAGCAGCTTTTCTCGGGACAGCTCCTCCAATGCTTTCGCTTTGTTTCGCTTCATTGGTTTGGACTCTGCTGGCTCTCTGCTCACACCGCAATTGACCCTATCCCAATCTGTTTGCAAGATCTTCAATGGGGGTAGTTCTTTGAGGGGAAAAATTGCCTTTTCACTTGGTCTGTGGGCCCCTTCCCAGTCAGCTGAAGCGGAAAAATGGCCAGTTGGGAACTTTCCCATATACAGCAATACAGAATTCCTTGACCTCTTGTCTGCTTAACGTGATGTTCTATGTTCTAAGTTGCGTGAGGCTACGCCGTGTTACTGTTCCTTGTTGCTTCACTGCGAACCTGTCAGTATAAAGGTTCGTAAGACTGCGGATGTGTCTTTTTTAGATGAGTGAAGATGGGGCATGCGTTGTGCAAAGACTTGTAAATTCTTGTAAAGATGTTTAAGATATGTGTAAAGTGTCTCCAGCTCCTTGCAGGTGTGGCTGGCCGCGGCGACTTCACGGTGGTTTTCGCCTGTCGCTCCACAAGATTTTCGTAGCTCTTGGGCCATCTGCGCAGTGGGAAACGAGGCCATCTGCACACAGGTCGAACAGGAACTGGTCCTTGGCTCAACTCTCAGGATGTGCTGAGCATGTACTCCGTTTGCTGCGTGTCGGGCCAGGTGATCTCGGGTAAGTTCTATCCCAAGTTAGGAACACTGGATGCATCTGGATGCGTTGTAGATATTCAATTTGAAGACTCCAAAGCTTCTTTGGGTTCCTTGTAGTAGCAAGCCCCAGCCAAGATTTCAGGATTCACCATGACTGATCTAGCCCAGTGAAACTCGACATCACTTCTCAATATTTGTCAATGAAACCATTCATCTCTCGTCCAAGTCGCCCTTCTCTTCGTCGCTATCCACAGGCATCTCCAGCGGCACGTCCGGGCGCCAGCGAAAGGTGCGTTGCAAGGGCAAGCTCGTGGACTGGGGGCAAACATCAAAGATCATCAAAGGTTACTAGGACTGGTTGCTAAGGAAACACATGGTCAATGTGGTGGCAACAAAAACGAAACAATTTGGTGTTTTTGGGGAAATTAACCCTTCATTGATTGAGGGTAGTTACTTTTTTCTATTATTTCCTTTTTTCAGGCTATTTCTGGGGTTCTTCTCTCCGCTCTATTTCTGGCTTATTTCTAGCTTGTTGCAGGCTTATTGCAGTCTCCTTTCCGGGGGATGGTTTCAGAATGTGTGGGATTTCATGAATTGAAATAGCATGAAATAGCCATTATGTGATGAAAAACCTTGAAAATCGTCGAAACATGTCGAAACGTCAGGTATGCAGCTACGCCATTGAAACATCAGTCATAGCAAGTTCCACCCCATTGCCCCCAAAGCTCCTCGTTGCTGGACTCATTTGCCATCGCCACTTCGTGGTCTCGCAATCCGCCACTAAAAAAACAATAATCCACCTGCGGATCGCGGCATTGCCACCGCCCACAGACCTGTCAAAGGGTTCAGAATGATTCATAATCAACACCCAAACTGACTTGCGACCTGAAATGCACAAAAAAAACATAAAACGTATGTTTCTCACTTCTCAATTGCCATTTACAACAGATTCCGTCACCCACCTGCAAGTAGTCCGACGGTAGCAACACCTGAGTCGATGAAGGTAAGAGATAGCCATTTTCACGAATTTTCTCTCATGTCAGAAGCCCGCATGGCGCAGGGGCAATCCATATAATATTTCTTTGTGCTCCACTTGTGCTTCTCCTTTGACCTGTCAATTCCATTCTTATGCATGCTTGATCCTTCGATGATTCCATTCGTTGCAGGTGGTATGAAATCATGCTAAAACATATGGTGAAATTGCAACCATGGTTCATGTGATGTGAGGATGTGAGACTACCATGTTGATCCATGTTGGTTCACCACTTTTCTGATTTTTCTGATCAAAGCTGATCAAAGATCCCTTTGATATCTTTGATTCGATGCCTCGGAGCAGTTGATGTCGCTCTGCACGGCGGCGTCGCCCAGGTGGCACAGCGCCCAGAGGGCACCGGGACGGCGCCGCACCGCGCTGCGCTCCGTGGGCGCCACGAGCACCGACGGCGTCACCGATGTCACCGGGTCCACGGCCTGACACCAAGGCCATAACTGCCATAACTGCCATAACTCAACGGCACGGCACGGTTCTGGCGCAAGGTTCTTGAAGGTTCTTGAATGTTTCCATGAGTTTTCGATTTTTGTTTCATCCTGTTTCATCCTGTTTCATCCTGTTTCATCCTGTTTCATCCAGTCCAGTGCCCGTCTAGTCCAAACATGTCCAAGCTGATCACCCGATACCCCTGGTTGGAAGAGCAATGGTAATTAAACAATGTTAAACAAGTTGAATGTGCTGAACAAGTTCGCTTGTAGATTAACTATGATTATCTATGATTAACTTATGTTATCTATTGTTATCTTACAGTATAATCAGTAATATCAGTATATAGGTGCTCAGCTCCCCAAAATTCAAACCGGACTCACCTCACGAGCATCGCTGAGGTTCGCGACGGTCTCGTTGCGCCTCTGAGAAGCTTCCGGTGGGGCATGGTGGGGCACATCACACAACAATTGAAGAATGATTGACCGATGGTTCAGAAACGTTCCGAATGATTGGCTGTGTATGACTGCGTAATCTCTACGGATTTCTGAAACACAGATGTGTTTTGACTGGAGAAAATGCAGATCGATGGACAGATGATGTCAACGCTTGACGCTTGGTGTCCCCGCCTTCCAGTCTCACTGACTGATTCGATCCTGGGTGTCTGAAAACCAAAGACATCAAGAGACTCGCAAGTGCCGTTGGAATGGGATTGAGGAGGAGCATGTTCAATTAAAGTTGGGGGGAGGGTATCTACAATCAAGCCGGAGGGAATCAAACCTTAGTTTCTCACGTCTGTGCACTCACACATGACGCAAATAGATCGAAAAGCAGATCAAATCTGCTTTCTTCAGAAAGTACTTGCAATCACAACAAACTGAAACATAAAGAATAAGTGGAAAACAAAATTGTAAACAACATTGCAACTTATAATATGTGCAAACTCACCGTGTCAAGTGACTCTGCAGCAGCAAGGAGAGGCAGCAATGGCAATAGTACGCGGACCATTGCAGCTTTTTCATGGCCCAAAGATTCAAAGGCGCATACGTAAGTGCATGCTGCATAAATTGCATTTTGGCGTGCCTTTGTCCGAAGATTCAGTGTCAAACAGTACTTGTCATCGAAGCTTAAGTTCTCGTTGCATCTGGTTGCAATAGGTTCTGCAGTGTCTTTGACAGAGTCAGATAGTCTTTTCCATTCAGAAGTGTGTTGCGGTGATCTTCGCATTCTTCGCCTTTATGGCTGCTGCCAATCACTGCTCTTGCCATAAGTTGAGGCCCAGTGCTGGCACGTTCTGGCATCTTCTTCATGAAAAAATGGTACATTCAAAAAATGCATGTCTCAAAAACAGAGACAAATAAGCTGCAGTGGGAAAATCAAGAGGTGCCAGTATATGCCCAACGATTGAAATGCGTGTCTGACCATTTTATACCATTTTGCATAGAAACTTCATACTCTGTTGTTATCTGTTGTTATCTGTTGTCTTTGAATGGGCCGCCCTGTGAAAACCAATGGATCTGAATGGACTCTTTACTTTGAATTCAGCGGTTGCACACGAAGAAGGAATATCCAGGCATATCAATCTTTTATATTCTTTTATATTCTTTTATTAGGCTGATTAGATCTGGTTAGCAACACAAAAACAAAACTCCAGTAGTAACCCTCCACTACTAGCGACACAATCCAAACCCTTCGCCTCTAGGAACTGCTGGACGTTTGCTCCCGATTTCAGACCTACAGGTTTCAAGATCGACCCAAACACAGATTACTCTGAAACTTGTGTGTCACGTTCTTCCTCTATTCTCCGCCTCGCCAAGTGTGCCTGCCCGGGAAAGTATGTTTGTTGAATGTGAGCATCTACTCTTCCCAATGCCAAATGTGTCTGCCCGAGACACTTTGTTTTAATATATCCTTGGTTTCATGTAATCCTTTGATGTTTGCTAATGTTTCGCGTCACGTTATTGTTCTTCTGTTACGAGTACTGTTTAGAATGCAGCCCCAAACAGTCACATCCAAGGTTAAATCGACAAAGCGGTCAGCTGTCTTCAATCATGCGCTGGTAGGACCCATATTCGTGATTGGTAGTTGCACGGTGGGGCTTCAACAAAATATCCACACTTAAGGATCTCTACTTTAGCGGTGCTGAAATCTACTGGTTTTAAGATATGTTAAAAATGAATTAAAGTTAAATGAATTCACACTTTCTACGTGTTGGAATCAATTGCTTTTCATCGAAAATCATAGCCGGTATCGCCGGTATCATCTGAAAGTGTTGTTGCTACTACCTCGGCACTGTGCCGCAGTCACGAATCAGAATCACCAAGCCCCTCAGTCGCACACCTTCACCTGGGAAATCGCTGGCGTGGGTCCTTGTCAGCTCCACTCAGGTCATGGGTCGTCTACATCTTCAACATCCAGATCATCCAAGGATGGCCAAGTTCCCCAAAGCTCCAACAGCTGAATCCTATCGGTCCTGTCATCCTTCATCATCCTTCATCATCCTTCATCATCCCTCATCCCTTATCCTTCATTGCATCTTGCTGCCCCTCCCAGACCATCAACCCCAAACCTGCGTGTGATATCATGCGATATCATGCGATCTGAGTCCTGCTCAAATCTCATCTCCAAGAAGCTCGGGAATTTGCACCCGCACCTGGCGGAGGAAGATTGAGGGGTCGGGGACACCCATGGACACCCCGAAGGCCCGAAGAATCATGACAACCGTGATGCAGTGTCTATTCAACGTCAAACCAAAGCGTGGGCAACAGGGCAACCCCCAAAGAGCCGGGCCCGGCCTATTGCACCAGGGCATCCAATTTTCCTAAGATCTGCTTCAGCGGCAGCCCATGTCCTCCAGTATCGGTGGTCACATACCTGCGAGCAATTTGACTCGCTTCGAAAAATGACAGAAAGTCCGGCCATGTCCCACCTGAACACTGGCCGCGGCCACCAGCCCGCCAAGATCAAGGCATCCCGTTGCCAATCAAACAGCAGGGCTCCAGTCTGTGGGCCAAATGGGTTCAGTTCGATGACGCACATACCGCCACCTTAACGAGATTCAAATGTCCAGACATGTCCAGACTGTCCAGTGACTGTCCAGGTCTACATAGCTTGACACGGTGTGATATGGTCTTCGACGACATGCTTAGGACATCTTGAGACATGCTCAAAACATGAGGATCTTCAAACGCTTCCGATTTTTCCACGCCTTGGAGAAAAGCAAAGTCCACCACACAGGCACTGAACGAAGACAAAAGCCGAGCTCGCACGTGATGACCAAAGAAATCCAAGACCTTTTGCAAAGTACCATCTGGATCCTGAGCAGAGCGAAAATCTGGGAGAATGCTGGTTCACAGTTCAAATTGCACATCTGGTTCCAAAATGCCACTGTAGATACTGTAGTCACAACAACGGCTAATAGATGCTAATACTATTTCATATATTTCATACTCTGTTTTGGATTGTTTTGGCACAAGAGTGCGAATTGTCTGGAAGCAAATGAAGCAGTCCTCGACAAAGCGTGGGACCACCGTGCAGCAGTGGTATTGCGTCACAGCGGTCAGTTCCCCGCCAAAGACAAAGCCTTCGAAGCTACATGAAAAAAACTCTGAAAAAATGTGTCTTCTTGCATTGCTTTGTTTATCTTCATTGCATGCAGAAAAATAAACAGAAAATGAGTGTTAGTGGAAAATGTGAAGAACGAACCATCAACACATCTTAACAATTTCTTCCATATCGAGGTCGTGCCTCGAAGCTCTGTCTCCACCAAGAGTCGGTCTTCCCAGCGCCGCACCTGGCAGAAGCTTGCTGGGACATCCGTAAAACACGTCCCACGCGTACCATGCAGACTCGGGCGCAATTCGATTGAGATTCTGTCGTATGCCCACTGTCACACATTTCTTCATGTAGCGAATGTCATGATGTATCATGATGTATCATGATGCATCATGATGTATCTATATGATAGTCATCGATAGTCTATATCTATGATTATCTATGCTTGTCTTCCCATCAAACTGAAGCACTGTGCATCATCCTTTGTGGCGCCTGTATCCTGTCTGCAATGCCTTTAATGCCGACAGACTGGATGCGCAAACGTCGCAGCCAGAAATCCTCGTAGGTTCTGTGACTGTTCCTTGGGTCTAGACGGTCTAGGCATTTAACGCATTTAACTCTCAACCAACAAACTGTCTCATGTGAAACGATACTCATATAGAAGATGTGGTAGGAGGCACCCTTTTCAAGATTTGGTTGAAGCACTCGGTCATCTCATGCTTAGCAATCTTGGCAAGTGGTTTTGCAAACTACATAATCTACATATTGTTGCCAACGGATGAATGCTGTGTTTGGCAACAAACATGTCATGTTTTCCTTCTGCACATTTCAAAAAACGAGTCAGTCAGGGGATGAACAATGCATCGCTGCTGGCATCTTAAATTTATATCAGTCAGTCTGCCATAGCAATTTCATTTTGTGTACCATTTGGATCCATTTGGCACCTTTCTCCCCTGCACCAACAGCAGGACAAGAGTGCCACCACCCGAAATCCAGAAGCAACTGAAGAGATATCTGACCAAGTATTTAGGTGGCAGTATAGGTAACACTCAATCATAATGTGTCAGCTAGGTCAGGCGTTACAGTTGTAAATTACGAGTAGTTGTTCAAACGGTTTCTTCATGATCCTCCCAAAATACCACAAATTCTTGCTCAAGGCTCGTCAACATCCATAGAGCCTCTCCGCCTAAGTGACAGCTGGTTCCTATCCCGAAACATCTGACCCCATCTGATCTGATTTCAGCTGTCAGATCAAGTTCTGTTCAAGTTCTGTTCATGCAAGTCGCCGGTTTTCACACACGTCAGTGACATCAGCATCCTCACAGCCGCGATGTTCCGCTGGGTCTCCTCATCGACGTCCGGCATCTCCTGCGCTGTCAGCGCGCAGAACTCAAAAATAACATCAAATGAAGATCCAAATATAATCGTTTTCTTTTCCAAAAACGTCATTCAAATTGCAAAAGCAGAATCCAACGATTTGAGACCGATGTTATCGGAGCAATTGATTTTTTGTAAAATATTCATCACCAAATCATGACCAAATCATGACCTGGCTCCGGGAATCCTTCCGAACTCGCTTTTGGAATTCAGGCCATTTGCTCGCAGCACCGAGTTTCTCAAGGTTGTCCATCACAGCGTCCTGAAGCCGGTCCGTGTTTTTTCTATCCAAGAACATTCCCGCACAAATTTTGGCAAGCAATATAACAGGCAATGAAAATAATGAAATAATTTAAAAAAAACGATAGATGATAGATATATTTATGATTATCTATGTATATCTATAACCCAGGATACTCCAAGAGTTTTTTTTTCCATTCGGTCCTTTGGTGACAAATAGTTTAGACGCACAAAGGCTGCCCCAACTTCGTCGATGGCATCGTCGAGTTTTCGCTGTAAAGCCTCGAGGCGTTTCACGTCACAGGCGCGGCGTTTGCCCGAAGGAATCAGCGCCAGAGCATCATCCGTGGCTCGGGCCAAGGCCTCGATATCCTGCACCGGATCTGCGGTGAGAGCAGTGAGATACAATGCTGGTTGCGACCGTGATCTTGATTTTTTCCAAATGGCATGATTAGGACAGGCATTTTTCATTATGATCAGAATATGGTTGTTATTCTTGTTGCTGTTTTGACCATTATGATGTCCTTTATTGTTATTATGTTTGTCAATTTGTATATTTTGTTATTGCTATATTTGCTATTAAAAAACGCGAGGGCGTCTAAGGCCGTGTACCTAGTTTGAGCGTGTTTGGGCTGTACAAAGGGTGGAAAATTGCACGATGGGAATGCCAGAAATCCAAAGGGGAATGCTGTAACCCAAGGCTTCAAAAAATGCACGCCCACACGTAGCCTGTGGGCGTTTCTTTGCCGTGCAGGTTTTTCACCAATAGCGGTGTGAGTTGAAAGGTAGAAGGTAAGAGGTGAAGAAAAGGAATTTGAAGGGGAAAAGCTGGCAGTGCCTGCTGGTCTAGACCAGCAAGCACTATTCTTACAATTGAGTTATTATCAGTGCTATTCTTACTATCACTATTATTACTTTTCCTACTATTACTGTTACTTATTGTTATTAGTACTTTTAATGTTATCATGTCTATTATTAGTGTCATGCGCATCCACTCATTGAGAGGTGTGCTTTTGCTGACTCTTGACCACATTGCTTCTACCCAAAATCCCTTCAGTTTGGTGTCACGATTATGATCTCTGTGCAAATATTATCATTAAATTATCATTATATAAATCTATATAATATATTATAATATAGCTGTCATTGCTCTTATGCTCTCATCATCTCTCATCTACACTGCTCAGTCATGGCCTCAGCTTGAAGTGCAACACTGCGTGAGAGAAAGGTCACTGGCGTCAGCTGCCCATACCAGGTGTCAAACACAAAGCTGCGTTCCTCCAAAGCGAAGGCTTGCAGCGCTGGGCTTGCAGCCAGTTCAAGCACCAAAACAAATGACTTCTTGAACTTCTTAGAAGTGTCAAAACTGCTCTTGCAGGGTGATTCAACAAATGACATTGAGCCCTGTGGGGACTCCCATGCTGCTGGATGCTGCTGGATGCTGCTGGATGCTGCTGGATACGCGTCCTGATCGTTACATGCAGCTTTCAGGGCTGATTGTGCGATCCGTCGGAGGATGAAAGCAGCTGCCGCAGCCACAGCCACAATCAGACCCACTGCAGACAATACCGTCACAGCAGTCACTGCGGCCATCATGGTGCAGCACAAAGAGATGCAATGTGCACAATGCTGTTCTTACTGTTCTCTACCACACGATTCGAATTGTTTCTCACTCTTTCGGCAATTCAAGTTTGCTCGCTCTGGTGCGGTGCACAGAGACGATGTGGCTGCGGGAAGTGTGGAAATGGATGGAAATGTCTCAAATGGTTTTGTGACACTGTTGCTGCCGTTGCCCATCCCAACAGCAATGGCAAGATCAGTTGCTGAACCGTTGCGTACAGCAGCACATTGGTTTTGCGCTCAATCCTTGGGATCCGAGGCTGTTGGAAACTTGTGCCAAAACCAGGCACGGCAAAATGGTGAGAACCAAACGAAGACTGCTGAACTTGAGCTCTGCAACGCCCTTTCGCAGAATTAGAACACGCAAAGCTGATCATAAGAGTCCAGTAGAATTCATAACATGTGAATGATCTGACTCAAAAATCAAGTGTGAATTCGCAAATGAAGTTCTGAGATCGAAATTGCGTAATTTGGTTGACGCTTTGCCGGCGCTCTGGTCTGCAGGTGTCACAAACTGTTCCTCTTGCCAGCAAAATCGCATCTAGGAGGTGAAACTTGCACGCTTAGCGGCTTGAATGCAAAAAGACTGGTCCTTTAACAACTCGTTCTGCAATTTTTGCAACTTGTGCTGCAAGTGAATTGAATTGCAATGTTCTATCGACCCCCTCGAAGAAGTGCTCTAGCAGCTCTTGTACTTCACCCCTAGCTATGGAACTGTCAATCGCGCGAGCGCTCCGCAGCGACAAAAACAGACATTCCGCGAAGACTACATCTTCGAAAGCTTACGAAATGCATCGAATTTTATGCAAATTCTGAAAGCGGCTCTAGCCGGTTTCAGGAGATGCAAAATATTCCGAAGAGACATCCCAAGTTTTGGATACCGAAAAAGCAAAAATTCCTAACACGGCGAAATTGTTCCTTTGGCCGCTAACACATCCACAGATTGAAGAAGCCGTCGGCACACCTGACAAGGGCCATGAAAATCAACCCTGTGTGTGAACTGTGAGAAGTGCAAAAGCACGCGGTAATGCTCGGTACAAACATGTTTCGTCTATAATTGAATTGTAATAACTGTGCCAAGACATGCCAAGACTATATGCAATTCCAAAGCCTCCATGCGATTCGTCCAGCACCTCAACAAAGCTAGCTCCACTCAGCAAGGATCAGGAAACAACTTAAAACAACTCAATTGCATCAATGATAGAAAGGTATAGAAAGGTATGGAAAAAAAAATCGTCATCAACCCTCACTCTGAACCCCTGCACTTCCTTCAACACTTGGAAGCGCTGCAAGGTGAAAATCGGCTGCGCGCCTTGTTGTCCTCTCACGCGCTTGGTTGCCACGTGTTCTTCGCAGCAAGCGCTTCCGGTAGCGACGCCGCTGCAAACGCTTGGCACTCTCTGACAGACTGAGGCTCTCCTGCACAGCGCTTTAAGACTTGAAAATGGTCGAATCATATCGAATCAATGCTGTATTGCCAATTGTATCGATCGGTATCCATGCTGTGGCCGTTCCCAGCGTGTAAGAGCCATGTCTCATGTTTCCTACTACTTCATACATCACAGGTTAGCTGAATTTGAAGCCCATTGAATCTCTCGAAGAAATAGGCCAAGATTGGTCGAGTCATACTGTGTCATAGTATCATGTCATATTATGTATATATTATGTATATATTATGTAAAACGATGCTTGAACGCTGCCAGGGACCGTAGAGTCTGAGTCGGAGAAGAGTGACGTCCAAGTCTCCATGAATTCCTGCAGAAACCCGGCTGTCTCAGCGTTCAAACACTCTAAAACAGCTTGAGAATTTTGAGATGGGAGCCAAGCTGACTCCAAAAAAGAGACTATTTCCCAGCAGTTTGACTAGGATGTTGCAACATCTACTATTTTTGACCGTGTTTGAAACTAAACCCCTGGCCGAGAGAAGGCTGAGTCCGACGAGCTCAATATGTGTTTGAAGGCTGAGCTGCAGGTCTCCTTGTCCGAGCTTTGCTCATCCTCCTCACAGGCTTTGGAGGTGTCGGAGTGTGTAGCAAAATGGACACAGAAATGACATGAAATGACATGAAATGACATGAAATGACATGTGACGACCGTGTGATCTTTTCATATCAAGCGTCCTCGTCTTCATCCTTCTCCTCTCGTTGCTCTGGGAAACCTGGATGCGAATTAGATCAACCGTGAAAACCTGGCGTTGAATGTTTGGACTGTATAGAAACATCGGGTTTCAAATAATCCAAGATTGTCGCTTGTTGTTGCTTGTAACTTGCAATCTAATTGTGACACTCAGTTCCATAATTCAGTCTGCTTTTTGTGCCCATGATGAAGATCGGACTCTTAATGGGGAAATTTCATGGGGTACCACAGAAAAAAAGATGGAAATCGTCAGTTACTCTCAGAACGGTCAAACACACTCGGTCCAGTCGAGTATCACTTGGTCACCTGTGTTCAACCTGTATTTCAACCTGTATTTCAACCTGTATTTCAACCTGTATTCAATTGTCGATACTTGTTGCACCTTGTTGCGACTTGCCACTTGAGGCCAACACTCCGCTGATCTTCCAGCGATTGCAGGGCACGCTGCCAGGCCAAGGCCAAAGCTTCCCTGAACTGCTCCGCCAAATTGAAGCGCCGGCCTCACAGTGCGCGGAGCGATGTGGATACGATGTCTATACGATGTGCATATGTTATGCATTGTTATTTGCGTTCATCAAATTTCATCAATGCATAAACACACGGTTGAAATCCAAGGCCGCCCCTGCACTGCTGAAGGAACAGGGAGATGTGTTGAGAAGGCGAGCAAATCATCAAGATCAAGGCAAATGAGATTCTTCCAGCTCAGAGCATGCTGAACTCTGGCAGCATATCCAAACGGTCATCGAATTTCAAACAGTACAAAGTTACACGGCTTCAGGCTTCATCTTCCCCTAATGTGCCACATATCACTTGTCGATATTTATCGGTTGATCGTTTGAGCGATGAACTTTGGAGATCTTTGGAGATCTTTGGAGATCTTTGGAGATCTTTGGAGATCTTTGGAGATCTTTGGATGTGCAAGTGCTGCAAAGGAACGTGAAACCGGTCGAGACTCGCCCTGAGAGCTTCGGGGCTTCTCTGACTCCTCCTGACACCAAGCTTCACCAAGTAACAAAGCTACAAAGCTGCACCACAGAGCAGCACAAAGCGACACAAAGTGACAGAGACTGAACCTGGAACCACCACTCGTCTTCGTGCAACACCGTCTCTTTAGACTTTGTCTTCTCCTCAGATTGAGAGCAAGAACTTCAAGTGAGGCCCGGATAGCCCCAATTCTGAATCCTTCTAATATACTATATCCGGTTTTCATCGGTGTTCCATTGTGTTAGACCTTACTTGTAATGTCCATCGCGACGTTCGCATTCTGACTTGGAAAATCATCGAAGCCGGTCCTTCGTCGGTCTGCGTTGCGGGAACAGCTTCGCACCGTCGGGATCCAGTAGGCTATCCTGGAGCAATGCTTGCACCAACACTGATCCTCCAGTTATCCTGCACTAATCCTGCACCTTAGAGTGCTTAATTTGAGTAAAAGTCAGCATTTTGAACATCATCCAACGCTAGCCATCCCGTCATAATGGTTGCAAATTACAAGCAATAAATGATTTTGAAACTAGTCGTCCCAGTATGTTCTCATCACTTTGCGCTGCGGCCAAAAGAGAAATGCCGAAACTTGTCTGGTCTGAAGGATGTCTTTGTCCACTGCCAGTAGCAAACTTGACTCTCCTTGATTCTGAAGAGGCCTCTAGGTTCCACAACCACCTCTTCCTTAACCTTGAGGCAAACGCTGTAAACACTGTGAAAGCTTGCATGCTGCCATGCTGCAAAATGCGGAAGTTTGATGTGACGCACCTGAGGCGTGGGTGGCTTCACCTCTGGCAGCTCTTGCTTTGCCTTCGCCTGGTGTAGCTTCGGAGCACACAGTCAAAAATCAAAAGCTTCAGCAGTCTGCAGCCTTCAATCATATATAATAGATTTATTATAGTATTACATGTAATACACAATGACCAATATTCCACCCATATCACATCCAAAAAATGCAATGACTTGACATGACTTGACAATGATACTAATCGTCACAACCTGAAACACTACCTACCCCACAGTCATCCACAATGTCAACACTGATAGGTAAGGCATCTGTTGACGCAAGATCATGCACAAAATCATGTGTCACCATCTGTCACCATCTGTCACCATCTGTCACCATCTGTCACCATCTGTCACCATCTGTCACCATCTGTCACCATTCACCACATTTCTACACATGGGAAAATGAAGGCTCCAAGTGCCTTCGGCTGAACGGTTGGCGTTGACGGATGCGTCGGAGTCTTTGGCTGAGGCCGAGTGACCTCCTGGAGAACGAACTGCACACAGGACATGATAAGATGAAGCGATTGATGATTTAAGTTTGCAAAATTTGCAAACACACAATGAACTCTGAAAATATCACCAAACAAGCATCGATTTACTTCTCAATCAGTTCAATGAATCCTAAGAGTTGCCACAAGACGACAGCAGTGAGAAGAACTAAAGTCACTAAGATCTAAATGAAATATTACTACCGCAATCTGCCCCAAAATTGACTGTCATCAAGTTAGCACATGTTAGCACAACATGCACAGAATGCGTAAGTCTGTTCAGTGTCCGTTCAGTGTCCGTTCAGTGTCCGTTCAGTGTCCGTTCAGTGTCCGTTCAGTGTCCGTTCAGTGTCCGTTGTCCTCAGTCCTCAACCACCTCCTCCTCTTCAGATTGCACGCTGGGCGTTTTAACTGGTGCAACAGGCTCGTCCACCTCCTGCCATGAAGTTTGATGCTGTCATGTCGTTGCACTCCATTGCACTCCGTTGCACTCGGATGACCACACTTGCACTTGGAGAAAATGGAGAAACATGGAGAAACTTGATAAACCATATTTAACCATATTAAACGATTCATAGAAAAATGACGTCGCATACGTCGCATACGTCGCATACGTCTCCTGTGGCGTCGGCTTCTGCGGCGTGGGCTTCCGACTGATGGGCGTCACGGGCGCCGTCGGCGCGACGCTGGGATCGGTCGGCAGGACCTGCGGGACCTCCACGGCCACCACGGCTTTGGGCGTCCGGGGGATGTAGGCGTCCGGGAAGGACGGCACCGTCTCCTGGCGAGGTCTTCGTATGACACTTGTATATAATTATATTATATATATATATATTATTTTTATATTATATCAGCTATCAGTGCTAACAAGCTATCAGTGTTAACAACCTATCATGTGTCAGCTAATTAAGTTGTCAAAAACAAAAATTTATCTTCAAAGACTCCGCAGAAGGAGCGCAAACAAAGCAAAAGAATCGCAAGCAAAAGACATTCTGTAAATGACATGAACATGACATGAGCATGACATGAAACATCTGCGAAGTTGGAACAGTCTCAAACTGTTCAATCCATCTTCCCGGGCCTTCACTTTCGGCACTTCCACCGCCGGAATCGACACCACCTTGGCAAACTCTGGCGGTGGTGGTACTCGCCGCCGCTTCGCCCCAAATATATCGTGAAGCCTCAGGAACAGTTGCAACGAGGCTAGCGGGCTAGCAGCAGGATCATGCAAAGAGATGCCAAGATCCATGAACAGGCCGCAAAACGTCAGTATCACTAAAGCAGGTAGTTGCAGTCGTTGCAGAGTTGGACTTGGATTCTTCATGATTCTTCACAGTGTCCAATCACTGGCATTAGAATCATCAAAGCTCAAAAGACTCGTCCGACTCCGACTCTGCCTTCGTCGAGCTTGACGCGAGTGCAGCTTCAGCCTGAAGATTTGTAGGTCTTGCGAGAGGTGCTCCAGCGGCAAATCACGCTCCCGCGCGATCCTGCGCCACGTTTCACTTCAGTTCACTTGTTGGGATGCTTGTGATGAAACATGATGAAACTATACAAAAATAACTGGTTCACTCCGTTTCACTATCTTCCTGCCTGTCCAGGTGCTCAACAAAAGCCATATCTAAACGGGCTCGCCGCGAATTGCTCATCGGCTGCAATCTCGCACGATTCATCCTCGGAGCTGTGGCTGTGGGAGAAAGCTGGGGATCGGATCGGAACATCTGCGCGTTGAAGTGGAACATGTGCAGATATTATATAATTATTATGGATCTTGCATATCATGCAGCAAGTCACGCGTGCCACCTTGGGTCTCTACTAGTCTTTACTCAAAAAAATTGTCCAACCCCAATCTGAAGTTCCATAAAAACCAGAAATCAGTCAGATAAGAGAAATGGTGTTACCAGCCCCAGGCCATCTTTTCGAAAATCAAAAGGATTCAAAAGGCATAAGTTTGGATCTCCGGCACATCATCACCATCCGGCTATTGAAGCCATGCCACGCTGAACGGCCCTGCACCAGCAGGTCGCTCATATCGACATCAACGCCCATCTCCTGTGATTCAGCCACATTGCCAAAAAATCACAATGGCCGCAATGGCCCATCGATTTCTTTGTCCAACAAAAAATCGAGCGACTGTGTCATCCCTCATCAAAGCAAAGGCTTTGCTATGAAAATTACAAATGCATCTGATCGGAGCACCCACCTCAACTGTGACCCTCAAACCCCAAGCTCTGATACTTCACAAGACGGGAAGCTCAGCACTGACCACAAAGCCTCAATTGTGATGTGTCTTGCTGGCACATACGAACCATTCTTTTGAAATCCTTACATGTTTTAGTGGGAGAAATGCAATTTTGCATCAATGTCCGCTAATTCGCTGCTTCCGCTCCTGAAGCCACGTCATGAGCGGGACACCTTTCCGTTGCTTGTGCATGTCTCCAAGATCCTGCAAAGAGCCAAGTGAGCCAAGTTGCTGCAGGCACTGCGACATCTGTATCATGCTCTTAGAAAGCACACGTTTTGTCAAAAAATGCCAGAGAAAGTCAGACGGTCTGGCCCGAAGATTCATTTTTACCATCATGTCTTCAGCATGTCTTCAGCATGTCTTCAGCATGTCTTCAGCATGTCTTCAGCATGTCTCCAACCCTAGCCTGAAGCAAGATCAACTGCAGATTGAGGGAAATTTCCCAAAAGTAAGGCTTCACCAAATATGCAGATAACTCAGATAGTAAGTCTCCCTCTTTCCCTCCAACTTCAACCCGGCTTCGGTCCTTTGGGTCGGGCTCCTGAAAGGTCTGAAAGAAATCCAAGGATTCCAAGGTGAAACGCGTGAAAGACCGTGAAAGTTTTGATTTTTTTTGCGGCACGGCTTCAGTACATCGTACAACTCACCACGTGACCATACGTGACCCATCCTGCCATGCCGACCTTGCCAAGTCACAGCCAAAGGAGTGTCGGTGGGTCTCACGAATCTTGTAACAGTTGTAACATCCATGCAATAGCCATGTAAAATCCATGTTGTTCATAGCACGGCAATGTCTTAGCATCTGCAGATCTTGTCTTCGAATGGAAGTTGTCACACTTGGTTTCCAACGACGTTGACCCAACTGAACTCTGCGCTGTTCCCATTCCCGACCTCCAGGCCGCAAGCGTTTGGCACATGACAGCACTTTTCCGACCGGGTGACGACTCCGGTGAGGACATGTGACATGCTTCTTTTTGGCACCGTGGCTTTGCCTAAAAATATCCTGCAGGTCCTGCCAGGGTCCACAGCACTGCTCTAAAATAGAATAGATACACATCTGAGGGTGAGCAGACAAAACAACAGCACATGTGGGAGGAAAATCAAGGAAATACTTCACAGGTGCTCTTTGCTTCTCATAGATATGTAGCTCCTATTTAGCTCAGCGATGCAATGTCCCAAAGCGGCAGCCTGCTCCAACGTCGCACATGAGGAGCTAAACCTCAATCCCAGGCTTATCATTGACAACAAAGTGACTTCGTCCTTTGTTTCTCCTGTTCGTTCCTGGTGTCTGAGCCCTCTCCTGCCCTGGATATTCTCTAAAGGACTGCTCTCAAAACGGAACATATCCGACAATCCCTCAGCCTAGGCCTATACACTGACCACAGCGGCCAGACTTCAGACCCAAGATGGAAACTGAACGAAGCACCAATCACATCCAGCGGAAATTCAATGTCCTGGCGGCCGAAGCGCAAAAGGTGTTTGACTCTCTCAAGCAAATGGCCTGATTGAGGGTTGTAGTTGGACAACTACGACCGTCTCGCATCATTGAGCGCAAGTCCAATCACAAAAGGCTTTGTGTTCAAGCTCATTGATTCTTCAAAACATCAAGCATAGTCGAAGCATAGCGTCAAGTGGCACCAAGTCTGTCAATTGTTTGGCTGCCACACAACGAAATTTTCCAAAACAACTCCACCCAACTCCCGGCAACCGGGGAAGGCAACCTCCATGGGAGGCAAAGTTGCTACCCTTGAAGACCTGTCGAATTGGCCAGGGTTTTGCAGCCACAAATCGTGCGACGTCAAACTATGTCAGAGTCCCGGCTGTCACAAGATGTTGCTCCGTTGCTCCTGTGCCACTCCGCATTTGCACAGCTTGTGTCCCAAGATGTCCGAAGTGGCGCCAAGCCTTCTGCTCAGCTTCGGCAAAGGACCACTGGGATGCTGAGGCTGACTGAGACTCCTGCCGCATGATAGAAGGACTCCCGTTTACATCAGTTTACATCTCTACATCTGTGTAACGCTGTTCTTAAGTTACTTAATTTGGTAGTTGCAACATGTCACAACCTGGAAAACCTCGTCTGCGTTGCGTCTCTGGTTTTCTAGGTCTCCTTTGACCTTTGCGGCGGCCCTTTGAATCTGCAGTAGCCTCGGACCACTACTTAGAATACAATGTGAACACAAATCCACAAGCACTTGAATGACGAGAGGGGCGAAGGGAGTGATGTCAGTGTCATTTGTAAGGCAGTATGTTTTTTGCATTTTATTTTTCAAGCTATTCACAACTCCATGGTCTCATTCCACTTAGTCCCGGACATTTCGCTCAACTGATTCTGTGCTAGTTTCAAAGCTCCTGCCCAGCCATTAGACAACTGCGGGCTCTTAAGTCTTAGCACAAACTTCCAAGCCGTTTTCATTTCTGTCACGCGAAATTCTGAGATCTCTATTTCCAAAAGAATGTGTTCCAGACGGACACAGAACTCCAGGGCTCACTACGTCACTACGTTCACTCGCGCAACACTTCGCTCCCTGTGATTTGAAGCGATGACAAAGAAAAGGGCGAGAAACACCTCTCGGACTCTGGCCAAAGATATTTCAATTGCCCCAGAATGCCCCAAATCACTTTCAAACTGATCAAAACGCCAGCTTTTGCTGCTGCACAGTCATACACCATCATGAAATAGACCATGAGCGCACCAAGAGTCCTAAGAGACCTACTGAAAAACCCTCTGATAAACCCATAGACATCATGGACTGCGGACATCGACTGACTGTGACTTGGCCTGGACGGCATGGGTGAGGAGAAGTCTGACCTCCAGAGCGCTGGAAGCGCCCAGAAATGTGAAACACGTTGTGACACGTTGTGACATTGAATGTACGTATAATGTACATGAATGCGCTCTGAAACACGTGGCATGCCCTTTCTGATCTTTCTGATCTTTCTGATCTTTCTGATCTTTCTGATGCCTCAAATTCAGAGCACATGATGCACATGGCTAGACATCCAACCCCTAGCGTACACAGCTTGCAGGGCCCTTCCTCGAAGAGAATTCGGACCAGTACGATTCCCTGACCAAGCTCCAGGATCCAAATGGATCCAAATGGATCCAAGCTTCATTGCCACAGCACTTGCCACTACCGCTTGATACATCTTGCAATGACATTCCAACAGATTCTAACATTCACAAGCCGTAAATGATGATAAATGATGGTAAATGATGGTAAATGTGTAGATTCCTGGGAGAGTGTTTAAGAGTCGGTCTTTGGCACACAGGTCGTAACGGTCAGCAAACCTCGTGCCACCAAAGGATGTGGAGACAGAACTCCTGAAGAAATCACATCAAAATATATCAAAATCATCAAATCACTCCGAATCACTCCGAATCACTCCATATCGATCTTCAAATCTCCATCGCTCAGCTCGCTCGGCTCCTTGTGGGCGGCAAGGATGCGGAGTTAACCAGCAACCTGCGCTGGTTAGGAGACAAGGCTTTGCTTCAAAACTGCACTGATTCCGCGGATTCCGCGCCTCTGAGGTTTCTCCACTTGCCTGAGCACTGCATCAAAGTGTCAGCTTGACTCGGGTGAGCGGTGCATTTTGTAGGATATTCAACATGTTCAACGTACATAACTAGGTAACTGCATTCGCGGTCCCCGGTACAGATACCTATACCTACCCTGTTATTGCAGCAAAGCCAAGAAAAAGTGTTGACACTCTGGTGCTTGACTGGGAACCCCTGCAGCTTTGTGCCCACGGCATTGAGATTGCAGGCCAGATTGGCCTTCCCCTGGCCAAGGCATTGGACGATGTTGGATCCACAATCTATTTATTAAACTTCCATGACTAGGTGACCACTGAAATTGCAAGAGATATCACAAGAACCGTGTGTGGCAGTCCCTGACTCTCTCGCTGGCCTTTCTCATTAGAGCCACATCTGTCGGAGAAAGCCTTCAGAGGTCTGCACTTTGTGGTGGCACGTGTGGCGAATCTTCGTCTCACAGGCTACTTGCCCCCGCCTAAAGCTTCAGGTCGGCTGGTGACCGACGTATTTTGATCTACGGCTGCGGAAAAGTGTCGACATTGTGAATCATTGTGGGATGCGAAAAGATTCGCGATAAGTGTGCAGCGTGAATGCAAAAATCATGCTGCCAAGGGCCAGCAAGAGAAGTGTCTACGAAGCATCTTTTGTGGCAAAACTGGAGGCACTGCTTCGTATATCAACATGTACAAGTATCTTACAGTATCTACAATTATCTACAGTCAGTACCTGCATTTTGCAAGCTGGAGGTCAATACCTCAAAGATGCAGCTTGACGGTCCCGCGACCAATTTTAGACTGCTTTGCAGATCTCAAAAAGTGCAAGTGGAAGCGCATGACACGTTGACGGAGTCCTCTGACTGGCCCCGTGTGTAACTCAAGAAGAAGCCAGTAATCGCAAGCAAGCTGCCCGTCACCTGAAATTCCAAAGATTCGATCACTTTGTAGCAGCGTTGGGTAGCAATCCACAGCATAGGAACATGAGATGAACATAATACAACATGTCATTAACACAAATATATTATATGTTAATTATTGTTGACTCTAGTTTCACACTTTGACGAATTATTTTCTATCATAGATTTTAATTTCCGAAACCACATAGCCCGCGCCTCAGGTGTAGAAGGGACCGCGCCCAACAGCATTGCATCCAAGAGCAAAGACAGAGGTATGGACAAGCAAGCGACCATGGCAGTTTGCGAAGCTCCCATCAACTTGGAGCAGGAAAGCCATCCCAAATTCAACATGAGGTCATTCATGGAGAGAAAGCCAGCGCTTCCTGAAAGATCTGAAAGGTTTGTGAAGCCAAATGCAACGCCTGAAGCTCCCAGCGCTGTGCTGAATATCAATGCTGTGAGCACTGCAAGACTGTACAGGCCTTCCAAGGCCAAAAGTTCCGTCACTTCGCAATCGAGGCTGGAGACGATGATGGCCACAAGTGAGTAGAGTGTCGTGGCAGTGAGACAAAGCGCACAGCCACTCAAGCTGTTACCTGAGCCAAGCCATGGGAATATGCACAAAGGGACCAATACGATCCAAAATGACAATATGGTGCTAAGGGACCGATTGAAGGCGGAAGCCAAGACCCAAAACATCTATATTGCACAATTAGGCACAATATATCTAAAACTCAAAATGATGCAAAATGATGTGAAGGCGGAGGAGAGGAGAAACCATCTCTGTTGAAGCTGAGCTGAGCTGCCTTCGACCTCTGCATCTGTTGCCAAGAAGGCACCAAACAATGTGATGCAGCCACCAACAATGACCATGATGCTGGGCACTCTTCGAGTGACTATTGCCTCCAGCAACATGGCAATGACAATATCGAGGTTCCACACCTCAGTTGACCAGCCGCACACTTTGAAGAGAAGGATTAGGCTGCGGTTTGCTGATACAAGTTTCCGTAGCTGCTTTGCTGAGCCAAAAAGTCTGAACAATTTGGAGAACGCTGTATGTTATCATGAGTTCATGACCCTCCTAGCTGTCAGATGCTGTCAGGTCTTTAGGAACTAGACTAAAAATATTTAGAGATGCCCAGATGGCGAGACGTGAGCAGATTGCCGTGACGCAAGAAAGAAGTCTAGGGTCATCTTTGATGTAAATTTGTGCTTAACAAAGTGGTTTCGATCGCGCACACACACAAGTCATTTTCACTGAATATTGATCGAGACTCCAAAGTATTCACTGCAGGTGTGGTCTGTGTGAATGAGCTGTACCACATCGAATGCATGGCCGTAGCACAGAGCGAGAGCGGTATGGCCCCCAGCCAAAGAGGTCCCACTGCTGGCAGCGACAAAAACGACACAAAGCGAAGCAAAGGCCCAGCCTCTTGCGGCGCATGCCGCCCTTGCGGTCCCTGTTCCGCCGATTGAGACTTGAGGCAATGAAAAGGCACTAGGGCCAACCTGAAAGTTGAGACAAGGCAGTTGCAACCCTGTGGGCCCCTTAGTGTTATTGGAACCGGATGGAGTGCCTCAAGGCTCGCTGGATTGTTTGGCTGCCCAAATGAAAGGCATTTTTATCAATTTATTAAATAGATCTTGCACATCAAAATACTGACCCATCAAATACAACTTAAACTGCCTTCATGTCAAATGAATAATACAGCACATCCGTGCCATTTGCCAAATTCATCAAAAGTAGCTACGTTCGTGCTGGGTTCTTTGATGGAAAAAGCTGGTGGACAAGTGTTTGAGTCAAACGGCTCTCCAAACTACTGTGACGGCTCACCAAAAAACAGCCGTTTGAGTCATGCGGTCCAAAAAAATGCTGTGAGGGTTCACCAAAAATGAAATGCAACCAATCGTATGTTCTGATGAGAGCAGCTGTGTCTGATTGGGCGAAGGGCGTAAGAATTCAAGTCCTTTTCTGAATCAATGAGTACCAAATCCAAGTAACAGTGACCAGGAGCTTTGCACCACCAGTGCTGCTATCACGGGTGTGTTCGCCAGCAGATCGTGGATTTGGAAGGCGCCGAGCTTTTGAGCGTATTGCGGTGACATCCAGCCAATCAGCCTAGAATCCGGAAGCAGAGCGTCAAGATGCTTCAAGTCTTGCTAAGGAGTTACCAGAGTTACAAGCACCAGAAATCACAAGACTTAGAGCGAAACTATTTGGTCTCTGTCCAGGTTCGTACACCATCGGAAAAGAAGCCAAAAACGCGCGATCAAACATGTGTAGGCGCGGGTGTACACCGAGTTCAACGGAAAGCGCAAATTAAACAAAAATGAATCCAAAAAAAAAAGGACCTCTTTTGCTTCAAAGTAGCAAGATCGACAGGCTCAGCATTGCTGACGCACTCACGCCCAGCCTGCCGAGCTCTCTGCGCGGGGACGCACCGCTTTCAACGCTTTCAGGAGTGGAAGGCTCCAGCAAAAGCTCCGAGAACCTCCGAAGGGAATACAGACATGTAGCAATGCATCATAATGATTCATAATGCATCAACAGTATCAACAAATACATCATTATATCCCAGCTCAATAAATATTTCAATTACAGTTCTTCCGCTTGCCATTTGCACCGAACACTCTCAGAAACTGGCCCACCATTGCAATTTGGATGACGTTTTGGTCACCCTTTGCCAAGCAGCTGGTGTTTCTTACCGAAGGTCCAGCCACGAGGTAGCCATCTCTGTGTCCCATCCAAAAAGAACATCTATCACTGGTTCCCGCGCTTGAGCCGTTTAAAGACTGCACATAGAGTCCATGGAGTCCATGGAGTCCATGGGATTGGAAGAGTATATCTAGCACATATCTCATCATAGCTCACAGAATTCACCCCCCTCTTGAAGAGTACACACTTTCTATCATCCATACGCACTCTCCATGCAGCAATGCAAGCTGCAAGAGATTGGAAACCAAAAAAACAATCCACTTGTTTCGATTGCAGACTAGTAAGTGACTTAACAAGAGTGTGATCAAGACTTTCAAAACATTTCGTTCGTCCCTGATCAACTCATCAACTTTGACCCAGAAGCCGAAAGAATATAAAGTCTGCATGGTTCGCTGCCCAAGTCCCAACATCACCACAGTTTTCGCCAAGAAGGCTCCACGCTCTCTGGGTTGATGGGATCCCGGGATCTCGGATGACACGCTTTCGATATCGAAAAAGTTTGGAAAAAGTTTGGTCCCATCGACCCCTTTCGATATAGAAAATAGATTTTCTACGCTGCATCAGGCCGCACTGGGCGATGCCGAACTAGGCTGGGGCTGGCCCAAGATCGCCATGGGGTGACTATGGGTTGCCTTCAAAACGTTGCATCAAACGTCAAAACATCATCAAGCCATCCTGAAACATCCTGAAACATGCTGAAACATGCTGAAACCATGATCAAGGCATCATAAAAGCATCATGCAGAGCTTCAGGTGTAGTTCCATTATCAACTTCTGCTTTCACACTGTGCAACCACCCGAGCGAACGTCAAAATGGCATGTAAAATCACAAGCATCGATTCCCTGTAAATCACATATGCGGCAGATGCGGCAAATGCTGCCTACATCGAGCGAGTTTCTGAGATTTCACAGCGAGTTTCAGTGCGTTGGTTTCACTGCAGTCACAACCCAAACCGGGTCGCCATGTCGAGGACTCACATCCTCACGCGGCTCAAATTTGGGTGGGGGAAAACACCAGCATGTAACAGAACAAAACACATAAACACATTATATATATATACATATATCGACTCGAAAAACAGAGAAGGGCATTTCTTGTCAACCTCTTGAAGCGTAGAGTTGTTCAGACCACCAGTTGACCGAGCACTCTGTATCTAAAACGGAATGCTGGTTTCATGCGTATTTAAGGAAAGCTAGTAGCCTTAGTATTGCCTTAGTAGCAGCTAGATTGTATAGGATCATCTGCCTCTCTACCTTGATCTTTTGAGGCTATTTATACAATTTTTAAACCTTTCACCAAGATCAACTTGCGCCAAATGGCCATAGTGTTCAGCTTCTCCCAGCCCTTCTCTGGGCCATGTTGGAAGTAGCGACCTGCGGTAGGTTTCGGCTAAGATTGGCTGCAAACAAAGAGATCCAAACAGGTATGTAAGGTGTGTAGATATTATATATATATATATACTGTACACGAAACGAAAACAATTGGACCAGCACAACTGTGAAACCTGGTGAAACTGTGCGAAACCACCTATAGATCAATGATGATCATTGAATCATTGGATGTGGTCATGTCGTCCTATCTGGGTCTGGACGAGGGAATGGCCCTGAGGCGCCCTGACACACAGCATGAGCATGGCCCTCGCCATCGTCCGGCTCGGCAGCCCAAAGTCGCACCGCCTCGTTCGTGACTGTAGCTGTTTTCTCCAAGATATTTCAAAGTCAACAAAGTTTGGATTGGTTTAGGTCGAGATTTTGTAGAAAGTGTAGAAGGGTCTGCTTGATTTTGTAAAATCTTGCTGAGTTCGGCGCCTTCTCAATAAAGGAACGATGGGAGAAGACGATCATGGCCATCCCTCCCGGCTTCAACACGCGCTGCATCTCTGCAAAAACTTCACGAGGCTTTGTCAAGTATTGTACCTCACCACAAAGTGACAACGCTGCTCGAGGGCCAACTCATTCTTACTGCATCTTACTGCATCTTAAACATATATCAATATCAATATCATTATCATTGTCATTATATATATATACACTATAAGTTCTAATATATATTGTATGTGTGTGTGATATGTATATATGTATATATTACAAACAAATTCCAACGTCAGATCACCGAGATCAGTGTATCTGTGCCGCCACGTGGCGCTGAGTGCCAGGGTGGCACCATCGAAGGTGTTGTCGGCCCATGGCAACTTCTGCTGCTCGTTCAAATCCTCCCACTGCTCTCTGTGTCCAATGTGTCCAATCAAAAAAGAAGGTCAGAAATGTTCAAAATATCCAGCAGAAAAAATACAATGGGACAAATATTCATAATATTATATATATATAATATATTATTGTTATTATTATCATTATTATCATTATTATTGTGAGGTACATGGAATCACGGAAACAAAATGCTGTGGAAAAACGCCTGAGCGAAAGCAGAAAAATAAACAGGAATACATTGCACCACATGACACATACTGCATACGGTATAAAATGGTATAAACTCTGTAAACCTGTGTGTGGCCAGTGGGTCTTGCTGAGATGATATCTTCGTGGACACACAGACAGTGTGAAAAGAACGGATAAGACCTGGGGAGGCCCAATAGTGAGATTCAAAATTGCTCTGCATCAGATTGCAGATCAGCATTCAATACACATCCGCTTGGATCCAGGTTCACTTTACAAGTGGATGCCAAAGTTAAAGTTATATACCGTATACCGTAAATATCCGTAAATATCCGTAAATCCTATAAGTCGTCCCTTGAGTCGTCCCTTGAGTCGTCCCTTGAGGTCACCATGACCAGGTCCTGAATGTGGCGTTCCGTTGCCACTTCGTTCATCTCCAACTCGACAGAGTTCAGACCGTGCACCGCCACCTCGAAGCGAAGGTAGCGATGGAGTTGTGCACAGCGAAGGTAGCGAAGGTATCTGCCATTTTTTTGGACAATTTTGGAACTTGATGGAACTTTGGCATAGCTATGTCCATAGCCTGGGACGCCCGTTGAATCTCTGCTGGATAATGGGAGTTCCAGCTGGAGCACCTGAAAATCGAGGCGATAGAGAAAGATTCAACATTATTCAGATTATTCAACTATAACAGGTGACCATGATCGTACAACCAAACTGTTTCGCCACTTGGATATGGGTCAAAAATCAGAGACACACTGTGAACAATTTGAACACATTGAAAGTAAACTGATCTAAACAGACCTGGACTTGAAAACCTGGACCTGAATGGACGTCGACATCGACTATCCTCGAATATCGTCGACTGTTAAAATCCAAAGTGGAGGCGATGCTAAGGGCTGTGCAGATCTAGGACCTTGAAGCCATCGGGACAAGCCTGGTGGTCGCAGGAATTCGCGTGGTCTCTGTATGTCTCGGTGATCTCTAAGACTATCTCTAAGATGTCTATTCGAGACATGTCTCGAGTTGACTTTTCAGCATCCTAAGGTAACTTACGCATCTCACTTAAGCATTGTTCTGAATTGTTTTGCCATTTTTCTGAATTGTTCCTTTCCTCGATCTTACTAAGGTCTCGCATCCCGCTTCGCAGTTGTTTGGCTTCATCAAGGTTCCTCATGTTTGTTTACAATATTTATGTTTATTTATATGTTTATTTATGTTTCACCTCTTGGCAGATCTCCGCACCTTGAAAATGGCCTCGTAGGTGTCAGTGATACTCTGCAAGGAGTCGAGATCCAAGTGTTCCGCCAAACGTGGCTCGGCGTACATCTGGTCATCTGGACCTTGAGATCAGTGGATCATCGATGCATGTGTTGGTAACATCGTCACATTCTATGTCATAGACGAGCAGATCCATCTAGCTTCCGGCGCTGTGCTTATGTTATGTTCGTTACTTTCTATGTATATAAAGTTGTTGTTTGCCTTCTTGGGTCCGCAAGAGACCCTCAAGACTCCGAGGTCAGATGGTGATTCCATGTATTACCAATGATTACCAATGATTACCAATATATCTTAGGTATTCTTATAAGTTCTTATATAATATAGGTTCATCTTCGTCATATTCCCTTGCCATGGCAGCCATGGCATCTGTGGAGTCCCCACGCTCGTCCATGCGGGAGAAGTCCTCCTCCTCGCCACTGGTACGATGGGATGGTGACGATGTGTTTTTAAATGTTTAGAGTAAAAATATGTAAAGATAGATAGACACTACAGGAATATGATATATATGTAGGAAGTGGAGAGGTACCCTGATATTGCCTTTGATGTTTCATGAAAAATAGATCGACAATAATTGGAATAGAACAAATTAGATTCTTTGAAACGACTGCGTTGAGACCCTTTGTCTACTTTGAGGGGAAAAAAACATCAAAAAACGCCTAATGTCCCAATGTGTCCCAACGTGTCCCCATGTGTCCCAATGTGTCCCGTGCCTTGTATGGCCAAGCAGTTGGCAGCCATCCGTGCTGTGCTGGCAACGCATGACTCACCGGTGTGAAGGGATTCGCTTGGTCAAGGCGGACCTCAACGTGCAGGTCCCAGGTGTCAAGAGGAATGAAAGAGACTCAAAGAGTATCAAAGCAGATTCGAGAAAACGTCAGGTCCCTCTTCAAACCGATTCGATTCGTAGCTATTTCATCCTATTTCATCCTATTTCTACATTCTATAAGGTGAATCTGATGTGTGAAGAATATTCAAAAAATCTACCTTTTACACTGCTTCATTGGTTCCCTTGCGATGGAGTCATGGGAGTCATGAGAGTTACAGTTCTGGTACCCGGTGACTCATGGCCTGTCGTCCGTGGGGGCCATCGATGGTCATGCCCATGAACTTGCCCCGCTCCATGACCTGCTGCAGCACCTGCCAGCGCAGTGCCCGCGACACGACCAACACCACCGGACTCCACACGCAGCACCGCCGAGATCTGCCGAGGTCGGTCGCTTTTTTCTGACGACTCAAATGACTCAAAACGACTCACAAGTTGCGGCTCTCATCAAGACTTGGTCTTGGAGGCGCTCCTTCTTGGAAGGACGCAAAGCCGCTAGGCGAGGTTGACACCTCAACTGTGTGTGTGTGTGTCCAATCAAATCTTCAAACAGATTTAAACATATGTCTTTACTTTGTACAATGATTTCTATATTAGTCACTAATTCATCTATATCTTAGAGGATGTGCTTGCACACTTCATTCTGCACCAGCAACCAGCCATGCTGGCAATGCCCTTTATGATCCTTTATGTCACTTCATCCTGTTGCCCATGCTGCACATCGATATTCAGAGTAAAGTTTGCAAGCGCACTGCTCACAACTCGTATAGCCTCCAAGGCATTCGCTCTTTGTTGAGAACGATCCACGAACGGAACATCGTCTGACCGAGTCCCATCACGATCCAGTCTCTCTGTGCCCGGAGGGCGGGGAAGCACCAACAATGTTTGGTGCGTTTCACGGAGTGCCACAGGACCGTCCGCAATCCTTGCACCAAGAGCCATCAGCTGCAAACACTCACCTCCTTCGAAATTGTAAAACTCCAAGGTGTGCTGATCTTGCAGTCGTCTGCCAGAATGCATCAAGATCTGTTTCTCTGGACCGATGCCACAAAACTCCTGAAGTTCTTTCTTGAGTTCTGCAATGGTCCGTGTATGGTGCAACCACAATCTCTTCCGTCGCTGCGGGGGCCAGGTTTCCAGGATGGTCAGGAACAATTCTGTTCCTTTGAGACACCGCTTCTTGGCACTGGAATTCCACTGTGCCCTGGGAGTTCTTAGACCAGAGACAGGGATCGAAGGCTCAGGGATTGGTGCAGTTACATCGTTGCAGGATGTGACTTGTAAGCTGCAGCTGTCATCCCGGACACCGCAATCGCACAGGCGACATTCATTGGCCAAGGTCCGACCACCATGTGTCAAGCGCTGCTTGCTGGGTGGCAGACCTGTGACTTGTTCGATTTGCTGCTTGACCTCAACGACCAAGTCAGACTGCCTCACATGGACAACAAACGGTTCAGCTTTGAAACCAAAGACGCGGATCTCGAACTTGCGGGCGTTTCGACCACATCTTGACACGTGGATGAATTGCCTAGCTTCTACCCCACTATCCAACAAGCTTCGGCGATCGTGTAGAACCCTCCCTTTGTAAGACAATCTCATGTCGTCTGCTGGGATTTGGAGAAGTTCTTCCAGCAACTGCTTCACAGCAGCAACACGTAGTGCCAACACCAGGCGTAAAGGGATTTTCTCACCTGTGATCCCATTGCAAACGAAGAAAAGACTCGGTTGGTCCGTGGCTGCAGCCAAGACTTGTTGTGGATCCTTTGGGCTCTCCCAATCCAAAAGTCGGGTTGGCGTAGTACCAATGGAGCCACAGCTTTGAAATTTCTTCTCCTGGACGGTCGGAGGCAAGGCTTCTGGCTTGGCAGGTTGAATGGGATTGTGCGAGCTGCCAGAGCACTCAGACTTTTCGCGCACATCAAACATCCGCTCAATCATGCCAAAGCCAGTGGTACATAGCACACAGCACACGACAAATCATTGCACAAGCAATGGAGCTGGAAGTAGAAATGTGTTCCTTGTGACAGTTGTCAACACTTGTTCATGAAGGTCCTTATGCTTTCTGTTTCCATGGAAAGAATAAGGAAGAGGATTCTGCACTGATAAACTCACCATGCTTGTGCTACAGTATCTTACCTTATCTTCCACCAGAAGCCAGAATCTCATCAGGCACTAGCGTTAAAACCTGGAGCAACAGAATCACGGACAGGGCTAGCTGCGTTTGGAATCATTTGGTTGCATTCGAACGTTACAGTACTTGCCCTTTGCACTTCTGATGTAAAACTAAGTAAGGGAGGGGAAAGAAAAATAGCAATTTATTGCAGGATATTTAGGGTAAAACTCCCCTGTCCAATCCTGTCCACAACGCTATACCAAAGTACATCTATTTCCGACGTCAACTACGAGGCACTTTCTTGGATCTCTTGGGCTAAAAATAGTGCGAAAACGATTCAATATGAATATGACCCAACAAGATCCAACAAGATCCTCACGGTGACCCATTTTCAGTGGCTTAACGACTCCTTGCCTGCTCCCACGCATCCACGGACCGGAGACCCCCAAGTTCCAATCCATTACCAGAGGCCTCCATCGAAATTGGACATCGGTGGACATCAATACACATCAATAGACCCCAACAGAAAAGGGAGAAAGGGGGAGCCATGTACATGTAATTATGTACCTGTTGGTATCCATGTATCTCATTCAGTCTGGGTAGTCTGCATTCAGGCATCGGTCGCATTGCAATTGTGAAAGTCAACCATGTCCGCCATGTGCTGAAGTCATATCCACAGCCTGTTCTCGCAATAAGAAGTGTGGCACTTCACCCAGCATTGCGGAGAACTCCTGGCACCGCAAACTGGGGACAAAAGCATCTTCCAACACGTGCACTATATCACCATGATTCACAGTTATTCTATACAAATTCAGAAAACAAAAATTCTCATCCTGGAAATCCTTTGACTCCATATACTCCATCCACTCCACTTGCCGTATCTGCCATCGCTCGGCGCGCTCCTCGTAGCGGTCTTGGACGGCGCCGCGCAGCTCCTGGCTGCGTTGCATCGTGGCCTCACCGTCCAGGCCGACGGCCTCAGCCGCCGCGCGCAGCACCGATGCATCGGAGATGTCCTGCGACGGCAGAGTTCACTGTCGCACCGACACATGAAAAACTTATTCTAAAATGTTACATAAATGTTGTATTAAAATGTATTAAACAAATATAAACAATAGAAACAGACATTAAACATCATCAAACAGACCATGTTGAACGTTTCCCATTTCATGACATTTTCACGTGTGACACGGATTCTTGGTGTTTCTTTTTCAATCGAGCAAATCCGTTGTCCTTGGCTTCCTCAAAGTACCAGCGAGAAAGCAACTGCACCAGCTCATGCTGAAGGCCCTTCTCCTGCGTTGATTCTTCTGGGACGTGTAAATCAAGCCTTGCAATGACTACAAACGTGGATTTGTCCAGCAGTCATGGCGCCTGTAGTTTCAAGTTATGGCATGGTTCTCAATTCGTAAAGTCTTCGTGTACTATCTTTAGGATACACTTGTAGACAAATATCTCATGCACCCATAAGTCGCTCCTGTGCAGCATGGATGACGCAGAATGCGTCAAAGGTGTTCACGACACGGCGGTTGGGATTCATTTCCTTAAGATCCCCCTTGCAATTTGGGGGGGTTGCTGGGACCCCCGATTCAGTAGAGGACCCCAAGGTCAGGCACCAAAAAAATCTTTACTATAAATCAATCTCTGCTCTCCAAACTAGGATGTTACCTTCTACAAAATCAAGAACCTTCCACAGAAAAAACATCTGACAAGGCAAAATCATTCTTTCTACAAAATCAATAACCTCACATTTGAAAGCATCAAAAAAAAAGTTGGGATTTTTTTGGGGTAAAAACCTCCAGGATGATTCTGTAGAGACTTGTGTTAGAGTCGATTCTGTAGAGATGTTTTGTTTGTCTTTGATTTTGTAGCATGAATGCGCTCACAAGTTTTACAAGTCCCATCCAAAGTCCCAAATCAAAAATCCATACATGTTGGGCAAAAGGGGTTTCAGGGGAACTATCCTTTACAGAATCAAGGTCATTCCCTCTTACCATCTCTCACCACTACATAATCAAGATCTGAAGATATGACATTGAGGGGCATGCTTTACCAGAAAATCAAAGACCTTGTGTCGCCAGCCTTATTTCTACAAAATCAATTCCCTGACCAAAATGGAAGGTTTTGTGCACTTTCTGCTCACTGTTGGGGCCCCCCCATTTACAGAATCAGGGACCTACCAAGATACAGTCCAAAAATGTCCAAAATGGGTTGTTTTTGGGTGCTTGCCAGCCCATGGTTTTTGATTTTGTAGCAAAGTAGGGGTGCAGGATGGCTCTCCAGAATCGAAGGTTTTTTGGGGTGCCAGCCCCCCGATTCTGTAGAGGAAACTGCAGGATTCCTTAAGTAATTATTTCACAAAGTTCAAAGCGGTCTTGGAAAGAACAATAACAAGGAAATCAAGGAACAACGATGCACACTACCCGACACCACGTCCATTGAACCCAAGGTTCAACACCTGCTTCACGACCGTAGCGCCGAAGCGGATAGTCCTCCGAATGCGCGTAGTCCTTGGAAGTGGTCATCATGGAAGTTTCGATCGACGCAGTTGCGGCTGATATCACTTCAGTGATCAATGAACGATCAATGAATGACCACTTGAATCCACTTGATCACAATTTGTCACGACCCAGTCCTTGGTGTATCCAAACTCTCGCCAAAGATAATCATCAAGGCTCTCGCCTTCCTGCCAAGAGCTAACAAGACCTTGCCAGATTTATCATGATCCCACACAAGCATACACAAGCTACATAGTGATTCATAGTGAAATTGTTGAGAGCCATTGATAGCCCATGTTTCTTCACGACCTAACTTGGCAATGTCCATGTCAATGCAGACCTGGTGACCTTCAAAGTGACGCTCACATCTTGCTGTTTCCGGCCTTTGGCACGTTCGGATTTAGGAAAACTGGGTGGTAGCGGACCACCACTGAGTCTTGCCTGGGTCGAAAGATCTCAAGAAAAATCAGTGTTTGTTTTGTTTTGTTTTTGTTTTGTTTGCTCTCAACAGGTCTAGCAGCAAAGCAACGTTTCAAGTTCCTCCCCCCCTCTCCAGAGCGATCCAGCTGAGCGGCAGCCCCATATTTTGAATTGCAGCTTGGAGATTCATTTGGCTGATGAACGAAAAAGGGCATCGCACGTCGGTGAGCAAGTCCACTTGGATGTCGGGCCCACTGCCATCTCCTGAAACCAAGAGCAGCCTTCATGATCTTAGTAGTTTTAATATGATCGAAGTACATCTTAATCTTAGTACAATCTGTTTATTTCGTGTTGTTTCTTCATCTGCCGATGCCACACCCAAACAACTCCAGCCACTCGTTCCACCCCGTTCCGCCCATTCCACCCCGTTTCGCCGGTGCCTTGCTTCCGACGTACGATGGGAAGAAGGGCCGAAAGTTCCTTGAAGCGCTGAGAGTCTGAAAACTGCACGCGCGCCTCCGGTGAGACCATGAACCTCAGCAAATCTGGAGAGTATCTGGAGAGTATCTGGAGAGTATCTTCAAATATCTTGGAACATTTGGAAGTGTTGGAAACTTGTTGGAAGTTGGAACCACCTGGAAAGTATTTCTTTGGTGCAGCTGATTTCAGCCAAGAAACTGTCGGAATGCCGTGAAGCTTTGCCTCGAGTGTTGTGAGGCCGCTTTTGAAAGCGTCCATTGGAAATGCATTCCAAACAGCTCCAGACTTGGTGGAAATTTCACATCCATTCATCATCCATTACATGATTTTCTGGCAAGTCTGTGATTTCGGCCAAATTCGGCCAAGGGACTTCATGGTGATGTTCAAGTAACTTTCGTCCATCATCGCATTCCATCCCTTATTCACAGCCGCGGCCTCCATGCCTTGGCAACGCGGCAACACCTTTGTGGAAGCCCAGGGTCCCCGCAACACTACGCTTCGCACGATGCCACGATGCAAACGAGGTGCCTTCTGGAGCTGTACAAAGTGTGTCCCACGGCACATACCAAAAGTTGCAGTAGTTAAAGCGTGCCACACCCGGTTTCACTGGATTCAGCACCTTGGTCGAGTCTAGAGATGTCTAGAGTCTAGAGTCCAATTTATATATGTGTCATTGTGTATCAGTGATTTTCAGTGTATCAATTTACATCTACAGTATTCTACAGTCATCTACATCTGTGATTCATTAAGTCTTTAGAAATCCGCAGCAAGGTCAACGACGGTACTTGGCCCAAGACAGCATGGCGGCAAGCCTTAAGTTTGCCACCTGAGGCCAAATTCACAACAGAGGCAGATTCGGCAAAATCGGAGTCAGTATGGTTGCCCTGAGTCAGTCAGTCTGCATTCCACCAGGGCCGCCAGGGCCGCCGGGGCCCCTGGCCTGTGTAGATCTGCGCAAACGCGCCCATCTGGAGGAGCAAGGCATTGGGGTCGCTGCAATTCAGCATGGTTGTTTCCCCAACCTGGCTGGAACTGTGACAAAAGAAACGTGTAGAAAAAACATGAAAAGATTAGAAAAGTATGGAAAAGCTGGATTTATTGAGATGGGTGGCATCTCATGCTCTGACCCAGCCTCATTCATGAACATTAAGCCAGAGCCGGGTGGCTCAGGGATGAATTCGCCAGTGATTTCACTAGCATACATCTCCTCAGGTCGAGATGACACAGATCTTTGATGGCAATGATGGCAATCATAAAAGGATATAAAATGCAAGTGATTCCAAGTGATACATTGTCAGGCCGTCAAGTTTGCAATGCCAACATGCGATCAATGCGATCGATGCGATCGAGTGGCCTTGTGAAGAATGGTTACAAAATTGGAATCGACATGCCATGGCAGCCAGTAGTCTGTTTCCGGCTGCGGAACTTCAGAAACTTCAGCGGCAGAGCCTCGGATAGTCAACCCAAAGAACCTAAAGAAGTAAGCCAAGGGTCCAAGAATGAGCCAAGCATGATGCAAAAGTGAATGTGCATGAAGTCACGTGCAAATAGGTGTGCCAGGTAGTTTGCTGACCCTTGTTACCCATGTCTTTAATCATTTCAAGCAGCCAGCCAAACTGCCCGCCAAACTGCCAGACAGTTCAAGAGGATAGCCAGTCGACGTTGGCTTCACAGGGGCACTGGGTGTCTGCATAGTTGCCATCCCATCACTAGCATGACCGGCCGTCTTCACAGGTGTAGTATGGGTCCGCATGGACGCAAGGCCATCGCCAGCATGACCGGCCGTCTTCACAGGTGTAGTATGGGTCCGCATGGACGCAAGGCCATCGCCAGCATGACCGGCCGTCTTCACAGGTGTAGTATGCGTCCTCATGGACGCAAGGCCATCGCCAGCATGACCGGCCGTCTTCACAGGCGTAGTATGCGTCCGCATGGACGCAAGGCCATCGCCAGCATGACCGGCCGTCTTCACAGGCGTAGTATGCGTCCGCATGGACGCAAGGCCATCGCCAGCATGACCGGCCGTCTTCACAGGCGTAGTATGCGTCCGCATGGACGCAAGGCCATCGCCAGCATGACCGGCCGTCTTCACAGGCGTAGTATGCGTCCGCATGGACGCAAGGCCATCGCCAGCATGACCGGCCGTCTTCACAGGCGTAGTATGCGTCCGCATGGACGCAAGGCCATCGCCAGCATGACCGGCCGTCTTCACAGGCGTAGTATGCGTCCTCATGGACGCAAGGCCATCACCAGCATGACCGGCCGTCTTCACAGGCGTAGTATGCGTCCGCATGGACGCAAGGCCATCACCAGCATGACCGGCCGTCTTCACAGGCGTAGTATGTGTCCTCATGGACGCAAGGCCATCACCAGCATGACCGGCCGTCTTCACAGGCGTAGTATGCGTCCGCATGGACGCAAGGCCATCACCAGCATGTCCCACAGTTTTCACTGATGTCTCGTTGGGACTTTGCATAGGTTCGGGTAGTTCGGCGATCGAACTTGCATTTGAATTTCCTGGTGAAACGCCCAGTCCATCCTTAGCAACGATGAAATAAACATGCAATATCATGCAATCTTGAAAGGCCAGTCCCGTTAACAGCAGGATGCAATTCTCTTGTCTTCGACATCTCTTCGCTCTTGTTCGGAAGAAACTACCAGTAAGGCTGAGGAAACTTAGCTATGTCGCTCTGGTTCAGACAAGCTTCCCTCGTCTCCAACAAACGATCCTCCCTGGTAAAACCTGAATCATAACCTCAGCTTCAGTGGCAAGCTCGGGCATCCGACTGTAGAAGCCTTGACTTGACATGAGACTCTAATGAAATCTAATGAATAAGATTTAATTAAGATTTACTGTATGTCAACGTGTTGGACCCAATTTCACGAGTATCAACAACCCCTTTCTTGACCCCCGGCTGCCGAAAGCTGCTGTCATCTACTTGGCTAGGGACAAATAAAGCGTCCTGCCAATGCAGGCCCGTCGTCTCCTTGGTATTCGGAAAACATGGAGCTGGAGCAGAGCCAAAACCAGCCGTGCATGATTTGCATGGACAGAGTCTGCGAGAGTCTGCGTCACAGTGCATGGAGTCTACTCAGTGCCCCCGATATCAGACTTCGAGGCTCAGTGCACTTTGAAATCTTTGCACCAATTTGCACCAAGCTGCCAAGACGTTCGAGGCTTCGGTCCTTCTGCCACTGCGAAATCTCCGTGTCCAAAACCTTGTCACAACCTGCCGCAGCTGGAGCGTTACCAATCTCTTAAAGTCTTAAAGACTCTTCAAAACTCTTATTGCTTTGAGCACAGAAATGGCACTTCGGCCCAGCAGCCACGGAGAATTTGCAACGAAGTCGAGTACATCACATCAACAAATTTCACCCACGTCTCGCGATAGTCCTGATCAGTCAAGCAAATGGAAGCTTGACGAAGCTTGGAGCAGAATGGAACAAAATCTTGGAAGCGTATCCACAGAAAGTCTGTCCTCGCTTGGGAAAATATTCTTGCCAAAGAACGGATCCTCAAGCATGCTCTTGATTCAGACTCTTTCTGAAAAGCCAGTGCTTTGGTTTGACCCTGTGATCATAGAAAGAAGATTTTTAAAAAAATAAAAAACTACTTCGACAGGCATCAAAACCTTTTGTAAAAACTCCTGCGGTAAAACCATGTAGTGTACATATCATCGTACTACTCTGTAGCGTTGGTTCAAAAGGATCAAGTGCTTAGCGGCCCTTTGTGGTTTAGCCCCATTGTTATTGTAACATTGTTGGCTGACCTTGTAAAATACAGGTTATCAGCCGTAGTCTCACTACTTTGCTATGGGGACCCCAACCGACCTATCTCTCGCCGTTCCAGGGTCAGGTCCATCGGCTGTCGCTGTGCCCAATGTGGCCGGGGGCAACCCCGAGCCGATGGATGACGAAACAATGTTCCAACCCGTTGTAGCGTACTTCACCTTCATACAAAACAACCTTTCCCAAATCACCAGTGGGAACACCCTGCAAGTCATGAGGGAAGCTGAACAGAGGCACCTTCAGATAATGCATGGAGTAGTTGACTCAATTCGAAACGAATGGTCAAGTAGGCTCGTAATGCAGGAGCAGGAGTATGAGCAAAGGTTGCAGGAGGTTGAAGGTAAGGCCATCAGTGCCGTCAACGAGGAAAGGAAACGAGGCGACGAGTTAGAGGTCAGGTTAAATCAGGCTCAGGCATCGCATGACAAGAGAGTAGAGGATTTCAAGGTAGAGGCAAACACAAAGCATGATCAGAAAATCGCAGAGGAAAGGCAACGTATCACTAGTGAATTCGAAGCTTCCTATGCACAAACTGTTGAACATGCTAAGAATGCCATAGCTGCCACAAAGAAGCAATATGAAGATCAGGCTGCAATTGATCAGGCCAGGCTCATCAGTTTGAGGACCGAGTTCGAGAACTACAAGAAGGAGATGGCCGACAAGATCAACGAGGCAGCGGCTCAGAACCTTAGCCTTCAGGACCAAATCGATGACCTTCAGGAGCAGTTAAAGCATGTTGCCAAAGCGCAGCATGCCTCCGTTCCGAAAGCATCCGTCCAGAACGCTGAGCCGGCCGCTACCACTAGCGTGCCCCACTTCAATATTGCCACTCCCAAAGCATCCGATGCACAGGCTGCCAAAGGCAGTGATGAGCCGATTCATGAGTTGAAAACGCCTGCAGTGTTGGCACAAGAAGCAAAGGCCAAGTTGGATGAGCTGCTCAAAGGTGGCAGTCCCAAGCAAAAGCCGGCTGTCGGCAACGACCAGCCCCAATTGCCAACGCAGTCAGGGTTTTTCACCCCCACTGAAGCTATCAAAACTCCCCCAAATGACTCTCCTAAGAGCGTAACCAAGCAACAGCAAGTGATGGGTCCCTCAGATCTTATTGAATTGGTAAAAGCCTTAACCCAAAGGGAAGAAAAGGATAAGCCAAAAACTAAGGAGGCCGAAATCATCAAGCTGAACAACATGCCCGCTCCGGAGTCGTATAGGACTTGGAAAAATCATGTCAGGGATGAAGTGAAAAGCTGTTCAGATCGCCCGGATGAGGCATGGCTCTGGCTCAATGAGGTGTATGATCAAGAGTGCACCAGAGAGCAGTTGGAGAAGAAACTCCAAGATCCTGGAAAGTTCCTCACGCTGGATACAAAGTTATCAGCAGCGCTCACACGCTCAGCCGGAGGGGACCTTGCAACTAGGATCTTGAATTTCAAAGAGCAGCAATCCCGAAAAGGCATCCAGGTCAGGGGAAGGTATGTTCTGCTCATGTTTGAGGACTACTTCAAGACATCAGAAGAAGCAGGTAGCCTTTACAGAGTAGAAGATCTTTTGGGTGTTGTCAAAGTAGGCGATACTGTCCAGGATCTCCGAAGATTCATCAACAAATGGGATGCTACCCTAGCTGGCATGGCTGTCACCCCCGATGATGCTGTGTTAAGGGACATCTTGTTGAGGCAGATCCGACCAAGTCAGTTGCTGAAATATGACATTGAGATGTTTGACCGTGCTCATGAGAAATCCCATGAAAAGTCTTATAGTTTTCTTCACCAATCCATGAAGAACTTGATCGACCGTGAACGATTAAGGGAGAACAGGAACCGCATCGCGGAGAAGAACAAGGCTGGGATCAAGGACACGAAGGCCGCACCCGCCAAAGGCGATGGTCGCGGTGGCCGAAAGGGCTCCCCAAGTCGTGGTAGATCGCAGGAACGAGGTGGCAAAGGTGACAAGATTTGCTATAAGTTCCAAAAGGGTACCTGTGATAAGGGGAAGAAGTGTCCATTTAAGCATGTCAAGGATGACAAATCTCGAACTCAATCACCCAGAAGAACCAAGACACGTTCACCATCAAGGGGCAACAAAGATGATAAGGGGAAGAAAATGTCCAAGGAAGAAATGGCCAAAACCCCATGTATCTATCATGCCCAGGGAAAGTGCAGACGTGGTGACAAATGTTTTTATAAGCATGATGACAAAGCTGCTGCCGCCACCAAAGACACCAAAAGGGCCAATTCACCCGCTCCCAAGAAGAAGAGCAAGGATTCCACAGCCGCTCCATGCCTGATCCAGAAGTTTGCATGCATCGTCCGAAAACAGCCGAAGGCAACTTCGTGCTCTGATGAGTCAAGTGTCAGCATGAAGCGTCTTAGATTCCGAAAGGCCCCACATGTGATCGAGGTGAAAGCAGTTGGTCATCAAGTCCCAGTCAAGCACCGTCCAAGAGAGTTCACTAAGGTGTACAAGACAGCTGAAGACGTTCCAGTTTCATCCAAGGTCGAACAACATGAGGCTCAGGTTCGTGCAAGACAGCTTCAGGAAACTGTGAAACTTCATGATTCAGATGTTGCACCTAGTTGTGGGTTTTGTTGTTGGAATGAGGACACACGTGACATCACATGCAAAGAGTGCAGGTTCATTAGCGGTCCCAAAGCTCTTAGAGACATTGGTCGTTTCCCGTCAATTGCCACAGCCGCGCCAAAGGCCGGCGTTAGTTGGCTTGTCGACTCAGGTAGTGAATCCGATCTTGTGTTCAAGGGTATGTTAAGGGATGTTAGCGCCAAGAACTGCCGTGCAGCCGAGCATCCGACTTCCTTAGTCACAGCCAACGGCTCGACTGAGGCCAATGAGGTTGCTGACGTCAAGTTGTCCGCATTGCCAGATCCTGTGCATCCGTATGTACTTGATCATACCCCAGCTGTGCTCTCCGTAGGAACGAGATGTGTAGATCAGGGTTACAGTTTCGTATGGCCTGCCAACGGCAAACCAATCCTAGTCCGTCCAGATGACAAGGTCGTCCAGCTCAAGATCGAAGGTCATGTCCCAATCTTGGATGATAGTTGCAAGGTTTATCCCAAAGATCAATTTCAAAAGGATAAGCACCTCAAAAAGTTGTTTGCAATGCCGACCTCACGGTCGAGCTCGAAAGCCAAGCGGGACGAAGCCCAAGATGAAGAGCAATTGGACGAGCTGGTGGAGGATGACGCTCAGCAGGAGTACATCCGAAGCCGCAAGACTGAGGATCTGTTGGCTGAAGCTGCAAGTACCCAACATCAGTACACGCATTTCCCCAAGAACCCCTTTTGCAGAACCTGCCAACGAGCAAGGATGATGGCACCTCAAGCACGAAAGAAAGGTGGTCAGAAGAGAATCGAAACCGAAGTGTTTGGTGACCACGTCATTGGGGATCATGTCATCATCAAGAAAAACGTAGAAGAGGGTTTCAGGGGGGAGCAAGTTGCGTTGGTGTTGAAAGATCTGCACACTCAATATCGGTATGTCTACCCTAGCCAATCCAAGGACTCACAAAGCTGTGTTGATGGTTTGAATCACTTCATTGGATCAAAGGATGATGTTCAAGTCGTGTATACTGACAATTCCCCAGAATTGATCAGGGCCATCAAGGATTTGGGTTACAGACACCAGACTTCCATTGAATATGTAGATTCATCAAAGTCTTTTGCTGAGCGCGAAGTTCGTCAGATGTTGGAAGGTGCCCGGAGCAACTTGTTGCAATCAGGACTTCCTTTGAAGATGTGGCCATTGGCCATGCAGCATCATGCGACCGCGATCAATGCAAGCCCCCAGCTTGACGGCAGTGAATCCCCATGGCAACTCAGGTTTGGTGAAGAGTTCCCTGCAATGCACATTCCATTTGGTGCCAAAGTGTTGTTCTGGAATAACCCCAAGAGGTTGGATAACACATCAGGTAAGCTCTCCCCAACAGCAAATGAAGGAATTTTCCTTGGGTATTACATCCAACCAGGTCATGATTGGAAGGGTGAATACTTAGTTGCCAAGTTGGAAGCCGCAGATTATCATGTCAACTGGGGTGCACTGACAATCCAAAGAACAAAGAGGTTGGAATTGCCATCCGAGGGTTTCATCTTTCCTTTGAAAGCTCTGATTGACTCGAAAGCACCCAAAGCCGATCGCCTCGAGGACCAGGTCATTCCGAAGACACCCAAAGCTGTGCCTCTTGAGTCCAGTTTGCATCCGCCACAAGATGAGTATGAATACGAGCCAGGAACGCCTCTACCAGCCGACAGCGATGTCGAGCCTGATGCACCCGAAGCGCCCGTATTTCCAGATCTCAAATTGACCCCCAAAGGTGAAATTATTCCAGATGGACATCATTGGGATGGTCACCGGATTGTACGTAACTACAAAGGTTCAAAGCGTCCGGAGGGGATCGACTCAGAACTGTGGAAGATGTTAGGACCCCAAGATAGGAAGTTGATCATCGAGGAAGAAGCAAAGAAAGCAGCCAAGGAGCAGGAGGAAAAGCCAGCATCGTCATCTGGCAGCAAGGGCAAAAAGAAGAAATCTTCACCGGCCCGGCTTGAGGCAACTCAATGCCCTCCTGCAACTGCAAAGCTCGTAGGCAACGTTTGGGAAATTATTCCAGCCACTTCCCAAAAGTTTTCCGTGCCGGCAATGCCAAAAGTTGCCGCGCCTGCCACAATTGAGCACCGGCCTCGAATTAGAGAGCTCGTCAGAGAGAAGATCA